AAAGGCTATTTTGAACTTGCTATAATTAGGGAGTCAGCTACCATCATTTTAATTTGGCAGAAACTCAAAGGCAAACAAAAGAGTTGGAAAGCCTTATAGTGAGAGAAAAAAGGAAGGCTTCAGATGTACACTGGTTGGGGGCTATTGGTGTGAGGAAGCCGTAGGCAGGCTAACCAAAGTGGGGCCTTCTATGTGATTGGTTAGTGGCACTTATTTGGCTGTCTCTGATTGGTTCTAAGTTGGAGACTGGAACAAAAATAAGGAAATCATTAGGAAAAATTAGGAAACTGGTAGTTATTAATCAAATATTAGATGTTTGGAGATGATTGATTCAGGAGTCATTGTTTGATATTCTTGGACTGGTTACTGCTGTCAGTGGGTCGGAGTTCTATTTTTCCATATGGTCCGGAAATTGTCCGTTGGTATATTAGTCTCATTGCTCAATTCATCTTCCAGTCCTTTTTGGAAGAATACCTGACACAGAGAAGGCCTTCAATAAATGCTACTTGTTACTATTATTATTATTTTTTATTAAATCATAGCTGTGTACATTAATACAGTCATGGGGTTTTCCTACTGTAACTTCGCACTCACTCACTGATACATTCCTAGCATTGAAATTGTCATCATCACCAGCCTTCAAAAGCATGAATTCAAGTATCCTAATTTCAAATCACACCTTGTGTCATTCCAGTTCACTTTGCTTGAGAGCCCTTTCCTTGTGATGTTAAGCCCACTGCCATGTGCTAAACGCTCTACCTTCACTTCCCCCTTTTTTGCTCTTTTTAAATGAGTTTATGCTTCATTATAATTAGTTATTTGAAAATACCTTTTGTACCTGTCCCTTTGTCTCTTTTTCCCTGACACCTACCCTCACACTTCAACTTTGACTTTTGGCTGAGGAGGGTGCTTTGCCTCATGCCTCCCAGAATATGAGTGTGCCTTCACTCGCCCACCCACCTCCACCAGGGCTTACTCTTTCTGCCCTCTTTCCTCCTCCACAGGACATGAAGTCTTTCAACCTATCTGATCCCACCTCCTTTTAAAGGGCTGTGAACCTTGTTCTTCCTTAGCCTCTCAGAGCTTACTCTGTCAGTCATCTCCTCCCTTCAACATCAGTGTCTCCCTTTTCAAGGGTTCTCTCTGACCTGCAGAACTTCAGCTTGTGTTTCAACACAATGATCTGTCCTACTTCCCCCCACCCCAGTATGTTCTAAGAAGCTCTGATTTATCATGACTATGCATTAGCTGCTTTTCACATTTTCATCTTGAATGTCAGACTGGTTTACTACAATAACCTTAAAATCTTAATAACCTTAATTATTGTATTTTAAAAGAACCTACATTTTAGTTCATGTAGAGGATTTCCTCTGTATGGAATACTTATTGTCCAAACTCTAAGGTAGAAATTCCTGCTAAAAGTAGATATTTACTACCAGAGATGACTAAATAATTGTTTGTTCTGATTAGTTAAATGGGATTAGCCAAAGAAGTACAGTTGATCTTTAAAACAATGTGGGGGGTTAGGGATGCCAACCTTGTGTGCAGTCGAAAATCTGTGTATAACTTTGGACTCTTCAGAAATCTGAACTACTAATAGCATACCATTGATTAATAGCCTTGTCAATACCATAAACAGCCAATCAACACATTTTGTGTCTGTTATAGTGTCTATATAATAAAGTAAGCTAGAGAAAAGAAAATGTTATTAAGAACAAGAAATATATTTGTTATTCATTAGATAGAAGCAGGTCATTATAAAACCTGTAAATCGGGACTGCATAGTTCAAACCATGCTGTTCAAGGGTCAACTATAATTTAAATATTCTTTAAATATTTTTAAAATATTTTCTTTATACTTACATTGGATCAAAATAGGTGTGTCCTCCATTTTGTGCGAGGATGGGAACTAAAGCATGGTGGGAATATTTTTTAATAAGCAATATTTGATAAAAAACATTTTAGTTAAATGAGGAGATAATAATTATTAATTCTGTAAAGGTTATAGTGGTACATCTCCAACCATGTGTCACCGAAATTAGAATGCATGTGGCTTCATAGTAAGGTGTTCATACATAGATGTTTAAATCATAAAACAGGGAAAAATGAGGAATAGAAACAATGCATGTAATGGGCTTTGTCCTAATTCCTTTGAAATTGGGAAAGTAATTGGCTAACTTTAAACAAGCAAATAATTAACATGTCGGGGCAAAACTATATGTATTTGACATTGAATCACTCCTTCAGTATACTGCTTATAATAACAATACGACAAACAGATCCTTGTTATTGAAGAGGAACCCTAGTAACAAAATCTTCTTACTGTTACCAAAGGTGTCCATCCTGTGGCCCTCAGGCTGCATGCTGATTTTGGGAGGACTTTTTATGCATATCTCTGGTGGCAGATTTCACAAAAAGTATGCACATGCAAGGATCTTTCTTTCTTTTCTTCTTTTTTTTTTGCTAATCATCTTTCCTTAGTTTTGCTGTATTTAATGTGTGACCCAAGACAACTTTTATTCTTCCAATGTGTGGCAGAGAAGATAACAAAGTTTGGACATCCCAAATAAGCATTTATAAGGTATCCTAATACATGTTTATTCAATTGCTTACTTCAGTCTAAGGTTCATGATCCAACTCACAAAATTCCAGTGTGTCATGGAGATTTGTGACTTTTCATCCTCATCATCTTATTCTTGAGCTTACTCATAGGCACGGGGCCTGAGCTGGGCTCTTAGGGTGCAGAAATGCCCCCACAGCACTTGTCTTCAGCAGGGATGTGTCCTCTCGAGCTCCCCTGACCATACACAATCCAAAACCTTCTATCCTTTCTCTTATTCTGCCTCTCAAGATCCTGCCTTCTGTGTATCCAGGCTCCAGCATGGATAGTCAGTCATAGTGTTCCTCATCTAAAGTGCTGATAGAGGAATAGAGAGCTTGTGGTCTTGAGGGCAGAGATGGCTTGGAGGGGGGCAGCTTTATAATGGACTGGCTTCCTGGTGGAATATGCAAATATAAATACATGAAGAGAACTCTATCCCTGGATCTCTTTGAAGTTATACATTCTA